CCATAAATGTCCCCCCCCCCCCTCTAGCTCACTTATTTTAGAACCGATTCAAAAATTTGAAAAAATCATCTAAAATTTCCCGTTTTTTCCCGTTGGAACAGAAAATACAGAGTGCTCGGAACAAACGATCTACAGAGTATTTTTTTCTTAGATTCTTCCTGAAGAGCTGATTTCATCAATACATCACACTTGGGGTCTAGCGGGAATGATAACAGAGATATAGGGTATTCAAAATCGAGATTTTTCAACTTTAGGATTTTTTTGTGTCGAAACTATTCATTATTGGATTCATTGGCCCCTATCTCAACTTTTGATTAACTATCTACTGACATTTAATTGGAACATATACAGTGTGGTTCAAGATTCAGAATTATGATCACCCTGTATATGTTCCAAATATTAAATGTCAGTAGATAGTAAATCAGAAATCAAGACATGAACATGAAAGCCATTCTGACCGATAATGAATAGTTTCGTCACAGGAAAATCTTAAAGTTGAAAAATCTCGATTTTGAACACCCTATATCTCTGTAATCATTTTCGCTAGACCCTAAGTGTGATACATCGATGAAATCAGCTCTTCAGGGAGAATCTGAAAATACAATGAAAAATAGGGTGTTCAATTGAAAAATCAAATAGTACCCTGTAGATCGTTTGTTCCGAGCACCTCGTATCTTCTGATGAAGCGGAAAAAACTCTATCGAAAATCATTTTAGATGATATTTGAAATTTTGCAATCGGTTCATAAATAACTGAGCTAGAGGGGGGGGGACATTCATGGTGAATCACCCTGTACCTACATGACTTAAACGCGAAGGAACATCTGGAATATTTGATAACATGAAAAAGCAGGTATACAACCGAAGGTAAAACTAAGAGTAAGAGTAAGTGTTGAAGAAATTCTTCATTTACCCAGGATGCGATGTGATATTTCGGAAAATGGGAACATCTACACCCCCTACCCCTGAACTCGAAGGCTTTAAACCGCTTTAAACCTTCTCAACGAAATCAATATCAGGACCTGAATATTATTTTTTTCCTATGTTGAGTTATTGTGAGAATAACTCGCCCTGTATAATAATTATCAAAAATTTGAGGTCATTATGAATCGACGGAAAAAATACTATAGGAACTTGTGAAAAATATTTCTAGCACAATTTCAGTCATTCCGTAATGAATTATTATTTTAATTTTTTTCAATGAAAATATGATGAATATTTACGACACGAAGACATAATTGTTATTATCCTCTTCGATAACTCCGTAGAAATATTTTATAAATTACTCTAGTATACCCTGAAAAAACTGAAGAATACATCAGTGTCAGGACCGGAATGACTCTTATTCATGTTCTTGTAAGTACAGGGTGTTCCTAAAAGGTCTCTACAGAATCTCATATTCCTGATAAGCCGATTTGAAATCCGAAATTGATCCATTTCCGAGATACAGGGTGGTAAATTTGAAAAAATAGAAATCGAATTTCTTCAAAATTTATGAATATTTTTGAACGTATCACTTTGAAAATCAATAGGGATCTTCGGGATGCGAAACCCCAATACGGACACATTTTCACTATGGCCATTAGAGGACACTTCTTATGGTTCAGAAGGGCCATAACTTTTCTCTCAATGTACTTTTTCAGTTTTTTCATTGATGAAATGGTTTTTTCAACATTTTTAAGGAAAAAAAGTGTTCTCGTGTAAAATTGCTAAAGTAAGCCGATTTCGAAATATTTCCGATTTAAGTGTGTTCGATGCTGCACAGGAATATTCAAATTATTTTGAATAAAAAATGCATTTTTTTATGTATGATAAATTGATATTTTCATAACATAGGAAATGCAAATTCTCGATGTAATTCTTCATATATATGTATATCCATTTTTTTATGTTCATAATTATACAGGGTGTTTCCTAACTACGGTTCCTAACTGCAGGGGGTGATTTGTTGGGTCATTTCAAGAAGGAAAGTTCCTATGAACATATGCCCGGAGTTGCTTCGTTTCTGAGATACAGGGCGTTGGATTGAAAGAAAAAAACGGTAATTATAAAATATCATGAATATCCTGGAACCGATTTGGTTGAAATTTCGTACTTTTATTTGTAAAATTTTCTGAAATTTCAGCACATCAAGTGTCAATTGAATTTTTGGCGGAAATAATGAAAAACTCATTTCTCCAATGAAGGTGTTCATGATATGCAATACAGTGGCTTTGTTTTTTTTTTCTCGAAAACGAAGCTGGATATGAAGAAAGTGCAGGAGACCAAAAAGTTGTATTTTGAGTTGCTCAATCTAAACAAAATAAAAATTCACCAAAAAAAGGCAGTGGCGTACTTTTTTTTTCACAATATTGTTGGCTGTGGTGCCCACTGAGACGCCACTGGCCCCAATGATTTCAATCTAAATAGGGCTAAATAAGCGCCTTATTAGTTCAAATGAAAGTACCAAATTTTAACCAAATCGGTTCTAGGATGTTCATGATATTTTATAATTACCGTTTTTTTTCTTGAACTTCAACGCCCTGTATCTCAGAAACGAAGCAACTCCGGACATATGTTAATGGGAACTTTTCTTCCTAAAATGACCTAATGAATCACCACCTGCAGTTAGGAACCGTAGTTAGGAAACACCCTGTATATGAGAATATTCCTTTTCAATAAAAAATGCCTTTTTGCTGTTATCTTTGTGAATGTAATTTGGTCAGCAAATGGGTAATGCAAAAATGGGTTTTTCAAAATACTTTTTTCTGTGACGGGAAAAAAGTTTGGCATTTCATCGCTCTGTTGGCAGGTTATAAAATGTCACTTTTCATGAATTACTTTTTTTCTGTGGGACACCCAGTATAACAATTGATTAATTCATTTAATTGATTATGGTATACTCGATATCCTTATATTCCTGCTATTTGAGATTTGGTTCTGCTAGCTCAATGGTTAGGCTAGCAGAACCCATGATTTTTTTGAAAAAACAATGTGCGAAGAAATCGGCAATAGGCTAGGATTAGAGCCTTAAATTAGCCTCAAATCTTGGTATAATTCGTTTTGTGATTGTACTTTTATTCACAAAGTGGTTCTGATAGCTCAACGTTGAGTTAGCAGAAGCCACGTTTTTTTTGCATAAATCGAAGAGCAATAAATTCTTCAATACGGTGATGAATAATTAGCCTTGAATTATGGCCCAAAAAAATGAATGATTCAAAGTAGTTCTGCTAGCTCAATGGAGGTTTTTCACTTAGTTATTCTGAATCTACGATCAGATAAATGATGATTGTTATATACTAGGTCAGTTATAATCACAAGACTCATTCCACCCCTAATAATATTCTTCAGTTTTTCAGGTTATGAGAGTAATTCATTAAATATTACCTACTACAGAGGAATCAAAGACAATAACAACAATTATGTCTTGGTTTCGTGAATATTAATTTTATTTCCATTCTTGCCGATATTTTATCCGACAATTAATAAAAGAAATTAAAATAATAAATCTTTTTCTCACCAGGTTTCAATAGTATTTTCCTGTTAGATTCATAATATGACCTCAGATTCTTGATAATTATTATAAAAGGTGATTTATTCTCTCAATAACTAAACATAGGAAAAGAATAATATTCTGGTCCTGATACTGATTTCATTCAGAAGGCTCATTGTTGAAGCATTTGAGTTCAGTTAATATATCAAATTTGAACGCAATCGGGTAATCCCTGTATTTAATATGACAGATTGATTTTTTTGTCAAAATCCATAAATCACTCTGTATTTCAGTATATTGGCAGTCCCTATAACCCCATAAGTTTCGTCGGTTTCGTCTCAAAATACCCGGTATTCCACAAATAAAAATGAATATTCTGACATACGAAAAAAAAAATTAAAGAAATCTTGAGAGTGAGTGAAATAGGTAAGCTATACTTATACTTAGGACAAGGTACAACTCGGAGGAGTTCAAAACGATTAATTCTGGTTGGAAACAGGCCTGTTTTTCAGAAAGAACACTTTTTCATAATATGTATTACGTATTTCTCTGCTGTGCATCACAAAATCAAAGTACCTACTTCAATGGTTCATTTTCCTTCCATATCTATAACGAGGGCAATAATAGACTGTTAAATATCACAACACACTGTATAGGTTTGGTATATAGGATCAAATCACAAAAACACGTTCCATCGGAGTCACTGGAATTCAAATTTGCTAAAGGGTATAATATGTATATACCTACAACCTGCGGACCCATGCGCTTCTAGGTGCATTATAGTCTCGATTATAGTATAAAAAAAAAAAAAGTGTTTAAAAGTGTTTTTAACCGCCAGCTTAGTTGCAAAGCAACCCTCGAAAGTCAGAGATACTTTTTTTTCAAGACTTTTCTAGTCATTAAGAAGTAGCTACCTCATTGTCAATCCAATTGGAGGTGATTTGTTCATATCCAATCCTATAATATTAAAAAAAGTTCAATAACCATGAATTATTTCTCGATTATTTCCTTCAAATTTCAAAAAATGTCAATGGCATCCAAAGACTTCCAAAGACTTCCAAAGACTACCAAAGACTTCCAAAGAATTCCAAAGACTTCCAAAGATTACCAAAGACTTCCAAAGACTTCCAAAGACTACCAAAGAATTCCAAAGACTTCCAATGGAGTGTACACCAGACTTCCAATGAGATTCACCCCTCGGGAATTCCTTGTGAAATTGAAGTTTGGTGTACACCGAGGTCGAGACCGAGGTGTACACAATTTCGACCGCGGTTTACCCCTTGGCCGAAAATGTTTGGTCTCGTTTCTGGTAGTATCCTGAAGACCAAGGATGTATTCAGAAATCTATGAAAGTCTTTGGAAGCTACTGAAAGTAAGATGCGAGGTAAGATGGTATTCTTTTTCAAATCCTTCAACGTATAAGGAAGTATTTGAAAGTCACTGTAAGTTTTCCGTGAGGGTCTTTGATGATGAGTAGATTTTGTTCATCGGACTTCCGATGTACTCTTTTTCCGCCCTTATCTACCCACCTGACAGCTCGTCGCTCCTGTCGAATTTGAGACCCTGAGCGGCCGCCCCGCTCAGGGAGGCCGAGTAATCCCTGTCGCACTTCACCTTTGACACGACACACAAACCTCAAGAGTATTCTGAAGAGTCTTTGGAAGTAACTGAAAATTCTGCCCAAAATTTGCAGTAGTCTCTTGAAAGTCTTGGAGTCCTCGAGTGTATTCAGAAATCTTCTCGGAAATCTATGAAAGTGGCGATGGAAAGGAGAATTCCTTTGAAGCTACTAACAGTCTGGATGAGAGTATTCTGAAGTCTTTGGGAGTCTTTGAAAGGGACAGGCCTCGGGACAGGCGCGGTCACAGCCCAATTATTAGGGGGGGGGGTCAACTTGAAACAGGAGAGGGCAATTTTTATTTTCTTTTTAGATAACTCATTTATTTTATTTTATTCATTCTACATGAAGTAACCCTCAGAAGCCCTTGAAAGGCTTGTGCGACGGGATCTCCATTTTGAATATGTGTAAATCAAACCACTGTGACATTTAGGCTCCATTCCATATGATATACCATGCACTGAGCATAATTTATCCCAAATCTAAGAAGCGCCAAGCTCAATTATCGAACCCACGAAATCTTGATTACAACTGTGATCGCCTGCCCGTTCGACTTCTGACCAAACTAACGGAACAAAAACAAATGAAGCATAAAGCGAATAGCTTATAGTATATCGTAGTATATATAAAAACATCCACTCATGGAAAAGTTAACGAAAAATTCAGTTACAAACTAAAAGAAAATCTTCTATTGGATTTGGAGAATCGGTTGATTATTTTCAACGCGTTAGGAAAGATCTCGGGATGTATATTTGAAAGAGCTGAACCCGTTAGCCTCTCCTCTGACATTTTTTCTCTTAGCCAAGTTTTCAGGCACCTCAAAGTAGAAAATTACCTTTCTGCTGTGGCGGCGCTTATGGAAAGGGTTGCCACAATTTTGATCGAGATTTTGATTAAAATCTTGATATTATGATATAAGTCATAATCACAATAAACTTCAATTGTAGAAGGGACACAACTGGTCACGTTTGAACTATTTTCTGCGAGCTTTCGCCTCTACTTTAAAATCCATAGCTGGTACTCTGAAACGACCGAAGAAGCAGATAACGAGTATGGAATTCTGCTGTCTTCTTCACATTTATTAGGTCCTCCCCAGTTTATTCTGATTTTGGCACGAGTTTTGGCATAAAAATACTTGAGCCAAACAGGTCCAATGTATCCGAGAATGTATCTTCAGAAAGGCGGTCTTTCAGATCAATCGTTACGCTGTCCAGCAGTATTGGAATATATAAACAGTTCTTTGGTAATATTCCTCTTCGTTCCCTTAGTGATTATCGCGATGAATCTGCCGAGATACAGTACGTGGTGCAGATTTTTTGGGGGACTCATGACCCCTGTGACCCCCCCCTCGGACAGCGCCTGGAAAGGGATATTCAATTGGAAGTCTTTAGAAGTATTCAGAAAGTCTTTGGAAGTCACTGGAAGTTCCGCCCAAAGTTTCCAGTAGTCTCTTGAAGTCCTCGAATGTATTCAAAAATCTATGAAAGTCGTTGAGAGCCGAGTTAAAAGTTACTGAATGGGAGTATAATTTCAGTCTCTCGGAAGTATTCAGAAGCCTTTGAAAGTCTTTGAGAGAGAATTTCATTTGGTAGCTAGTTTGCTAGTCTTCGAAAGCATTCAGAAGTATTTAAAAGTTATTGGAAGTTCCGCAGAAAATGTTTGGTCTCGTGTTTGATAGTCTCCTGAAGTCCAAGGATATGTATTGAGAAATCTATGAAAGTCGTTGAAAGCCGAGTTGAAAGCAACTCAATGGGAATATTTCAGTCTCTCGAAAATAATCAGAAGCCTCTGAAAGTGTTCGAGAGAAAGTTTCATTTGGTAGGTAGTCTTCTTGCAAAAGCATTCAGAAAGTCTTCTAAAGTTATTGGAAGTTCCGCCGAAAGTGTTTCGTCTCGTGTTTGGTAGTCTCCTGAAGTCCAAGGATGTATTGAGAAATCTATGAAAGTCGCTGAGAGCTACTAAATGCCCGTGAAGGTCTTTGATGCTGAGTATGACTCCTGATGTACTCTTCTTCCGCCCGCATCTACCCACCTGACAGCTCGTCGCTCCTGTCGAACTTGAGCCCCTGAGCGGCCGCCCCGCTCAGGGAGGCCGCGTAATCCCTGTCGCACTTCACCTTTGACACGACGCACCTCTTCACACACTCGAGCAGCCGCAGCTCGGCGTCCTGCCGGGACAGCAGCGCCTCGTGGGCTATCTTGCCCTGCAGGTTGGTGGAGAAGCCCATGCCTCCTCACCAGGCGCGCATATCACTCACCGACACTAGACAACCAACGGGTCGGGTTAGGCCAAGTTAGGCGGATTCCACGCGGGAAGGCTAATAATAGCTCCTGGAGCGCTCGTCTCGGCTACCAACAAAGAACTAACGGTGGAGCGACGGGCTAGGCGACCGGACGGATCGCGTTACCTGCGACGGAGGCAGACCTGGCGAGATCGTGTTTTGTCTGCTCTGCGGCGACACTGTGCGGAAGATTGAAGAAGGGGGATAGTGCTCTCGGGACAGGCAGTCGCCAGCGCCAGACACTCGGTTGGCTGGCTTTGCTTCATCTTTGCTTTAGCTTTGCAGTGTTGCCAGGTATTATAGACTTAAATGCGCCTGATTTGACAATGAAATGCGACGGAAGGAAATGAAGAAAAATGCTGTCACTAACTATTGAACTTGGGCATCGCCCTAGCTTCTCAGGTAAGGCACTAGCAAAGAATTGTAGGTTAGTCACCCTCCTATTTGGCACTAGCCGTTCGATATTTGAAGTGGAGCAGTGTCGAGCGCGGTTAGTACTTGGATGGGTGACCATTCGAGGAAACGCCGCGTAAGCCCGTACATCTGTAGCGGAATAGCATATCATAGCTACAGCTACCATATCAATGAGCACAAGATATGGTACGGATATGCCGTCCTTCGGATGGGACGTTAAGCCGGTGTCCCGAGGCTTTGGACGTTGGACTCGTTAAAAGATCCCTACCTCTGGTTGGAACACCAGAGGATTCGGCAAAATAGTAGCAGAAAAAGGCCGACGTTAAAAAAACGTGGAAGAAGAAGAACTATTAAACTTCAACGAAACTTTCGACTACAAAATGAAAGAGCCAAATCAGTAGAACAAGAAAAATGAGCGCCTTTCCCTGATAGCACACAACGTCCTAGGGACGTCCCTATTTGGTACAATCCACGTCCGAATGTCCCGAAGCAAAAATTAGTGTCCTTGGGACGTCCCATCCCGTACATCACATGCAATGTCCGATTAAGGACGTCCACGGAATGTCCCAGCTGGTACATCATTTCAAATATCCTAGAAATAGCATTCCTTAGACGTTTCACGTTGTACATATTGTAGAATGTCCATGCAAGGACGTCCTTGGCATGTCCCTGATAGGATATGATTTTAAACGTTCCTTTAGGGACATCCATCGGATGTCCCGAGGCATGACTTCAGATCTGATATAATGTCCCTTCTAGACAACCATGAAATGTCCCTGATGGTACATTCCTTCAAATATCTCTGCACATACGCCCCTAATATTTCCAGGATCGTATAACAATCGAAATGTCACTTAGGGACATCCTTCGAATGTCCCTTAGGGATATCCGTCGGATGTCCCAATTGGTACATGCACTGTACTCTTTCAATGTCCAAGAAATAATGTCCTATGGACGTCCCAGTTGGTACTTTCAATATGTTGTCCCTGCGAGGACGTTAACTTACACCTCGCCGACGAATGATTGCTCGTAGGCTATTAGTACTCCTCGTCAATGTCCTTCACGTAAGTCCATTGGACATCCTTGGGAAACTTTTTGGGGACCTTCTACGGACCATCAACTCAACTGAATGTTCTAATCAGTTAAGCAAGATCTGGTCCTAGAAGGATTCCGAAAAATTCAAATTCAAATTCAAGAATAATTCGTACATCCCTGGGACATCCTATGGACACCCAATTGATATCCCTCAGCGTTGCTGATAGGTTGTTCTATGGGTGTCCTAAGGATGGCCTCTGTAGTGCTTGATGAGGAATACTGTAGGATTTAGGTATTCGATAGTTGTCCCAGGGACATCCCTCAAGGACGTCCCTAATTGGTCCTCAAGTGAGACATTTGTGCGTCCCACAGACGTCCAATGGACGTCCACGGTACCAAATTCGAATGTCCTATGGACGTCCTGAATGTCCCGACAGGACAGAAGCATTTGAGAGGATTCATGAGGAACCTGGAATATCTCTCATTATTCTTTTCTAAAGACATATTGTAGATACAAATTTTTGAAACTAAACATACTTGATATTGAATACTCGTTTTTATGATTAAGAGGTTTAAGTATTATCTCAATAATTCATCAATATTTCAATATTTGTGTAGTAGAGACAAATCAGATGATTTGCCCCAAAATGTCCCTGCATTGAAAAAATGAGAGCCCAAAAGGAAAAGAAACAAACGAAAATCTGAAGAAATCAATACTTTCTTACTATATTATTGTTTTTTATTCTGCAATTCTGAATTATTTTCAAGACAACAACGGTCTTCAGCTAATAATGCCAATAAGCTGATGCGGAGTTCAAAATTCACAGCACCACTTTTGGCAGGGGCGTCCGCAGAAATAATCTCAGGGAGGGGCAAGTCACAATGAATAATGTACAATATTCACTACATATATAAAAAAACAGTTTTTGCACGACCTATATAAGCGATTTTACACCAATAAAAGCGGGAATACAGGGTATACAGAGTAGGCACTCTCTATGCTATAAAATTTTCCGGGATTTTTCTGGCAATAAATCGACCACTATTTTTGCAGCAGCTTCTTCAATAGTTTTTTCACACATTCCTCCAATATTTATTGAAAAAACTTTGGGAAGCAATTAGAAAAATATACTACCACACTTTTTCGATGTTCACAAAAAGCAATATGGCTGCTCTTCTTCATCGGTAGTCATGATAATCAAATAATTTGATTTTGTGATTATTGTGTTCAGATTTTCATTTTCATATTGACAATAATTGATTTTATCATAAGATTATCTCAATCAAAATCGTCGAGTCCTGCAAAAAATGGTATATAAACCTCGGAAGTGAGTTCTTTCTTCCCTCAGTGCATTGTAGCACCCTCTGGCTACAAAACCACCTCTGGAATAATCATATGCACTTTACTCTTTCGATATATAATCTACTATTATTCTACATAAAACATGGAATAAGAAGAAGAAAATTAATTGAATTTATACCATATAGGTATTCTGTTTATAGCCAAAATTACAATAAAAAATTGCACGTGATAATAATCATAATCTTGTTCAACCAAAAATGGCATTCTCATAGTCTTGAGCAAATTTATCAATAACTTCGTTGATGAAATTAACTCTCTATATCTATCTATAAGATGTCGATGAATACTGATTAAACAATGTCTCAGAAAGTCACTATAATAAGCACTAATCAGAGTAGGAATTGGATAATGCAAATGTATTTTGTTTAGGAAGTATCTGAGTAAAGACCAGGCGCTAGGGGGGGGGGCGAGCGCCCCCCCTTGCCTCCCCCTCCGGATGCCCCTGAGTCTTTTGGCGCCAGGCGCATTTATTTGTATATGGTACACACTGTATGCTTTGGACTGTTTTTGGTCGGCTGGTTGACGTTTGGTCCGGTAGGGTGCGCAATTATTGTGCATTGTTATCGATTGTTATTGTTATGCTTGTTTATGCTACGTAGCCGTTTAAAGAATGGTTGTTAATTACAACTATCTATAAATACGCTCATAATAATATATCGATTTATACTTGTATTTTTTTATATAATATGTTCAATTTATTATCGTTATCAATTTTATTAGTATTTTTAACATTATTAAGATATAATAATCTAGATCAAATCCAGATATTGTTTGTGCACATCTAACCAGTATATCAGTTTCATTATAACCATTATACAGTATGGTGCAAATGGAAGGAATAATACATTAGTTTCTAGACAAACTGTCAACTTTTCAGAAATTCCCTAAAACACGTCGATATTCAAGTTCAATTTTCCACATTTACAACCACGGCAATTTCATCAAATGGAACATCCTATACAGGGTATGTCACGACGAGCTTACATACTATCTTTAAATCGAGAATCAGTCAGGAGAAATCGATGAAAATGTGCATGCTTATATCTCAGAGAATACGTTATATCTCTGTAATCATCTTCGATAGAACCCAAGTGTGACATATCGATGAAATCAGCTCTCCAGAGCGAATCTAAAAATGCAATAAAATACAGGTCCCCAAAAATCACAAAACACTGAAGTTGAACTTTTTTCAATCGAACACCCTATATATTATTTCATTTTGAGATTATCCCTGGTGAGCAGAGTTCAACAATCCATCATACTTGGGGTCTAGCAGTTATAATTACTGAGATATAGGGTGTGAGAAATCGAGATTTTCCAAGTTCAAGAGTTTTTTGTGTCTAAACCATTCATAATTGGTCAAAACGGCTCACATGTCCCTATCTCAACTTTTGGTCATCTATCTACTGACATTTAATTGAAACAAATACAGGGTGGTGCAGAATTCAGAATCTTGATCACCCGGTATATGTCCCATTTAAATATCAGTAGATAGTTAGTCAAATGTTGAGATAGGGACATGTAAGGCATTTTGACCAATTATGAATAGTTTCGACACAAAAAATTCTTGAACTTGGAAAATCTCGATTTTTCACACCCTATATTTCAGTAATTATAACTGCTAGACCCCAAGTATGATGGGTCGTTGAAATCAGCTCATCAGGGAGAATCTCAAAATGAAATAATATATAGGGTGTTCGATGGAAAAAAGTTTAACTTCAGTGTTTTATGGTTCTTGGGGACACCCTGTATGTTTCGAAATAGTTTTAAATGGTAGCCTATGTTGACATGCAACTTCCTAGAGAGGAAGAATTCCAAGAAGATAAGTGGTTAGCCTTCTAGAGACCGAGGCGTTACTGGTGGCCCACCCTGTATAGGGTGTTCCATTTGATATAATTGTCACGGACTTCGAACGAGAATCACCCTGTATATCCAATTTTTACTTATTTATGTGGAAAAGTGAAAATTAAAATCGACCTGTTTCAGGAGGTTTCTCAAGCATTCTCTCATTTGCACCATACTGTATAAATAGGTACACTCTAAAATATTCCTCATATTGAAGAAGGTCTACTTTCATTGACAACTTCACTAACGGCTTCCTTTTCAAGGATCAGATCTAAAACCTAAGCTATTGTTTGCTGGCTTATGCGGCCTAGTATACAGTCAATCGAACATCTCTCTAAATAGACAGTTACAACTGTCTGAATAAACAGTCGTTGTATGTGTCTATTTGATAAAAAAAATTGAGCCTTTTACGCTTCCTTATATGTTCCTTCACAAAATGAAACCAATACTGATGAATGGGGTTGAATCTGAGGCCTAGTCGGTAATCACAGTGCACACACAGGGTACAGGACAAAAAACTATAGCCTCATCTGGACTCGGATATTACGCAGGTAGCTATAGCTGCCTCCGTGGTAACATCACAGTATAGAGCTCTAAAGAAGGTAACATTATAGCTGTAACCTAGGTCTTCTGACAATTGTGCGGCTGGCTTCTGCTTGTTGACTCCGTCGATTTTTCGTTTCGTCTTCCACCAAGTTTTGCCGATCTTTTGCACTTCTTTCAACGTACTGCTGAGGGCCGAGAGTCCAAAACACGTGTTTGCGGTTAACTCTGCCTGAGAGCAATATCCATCAATTTTTTCCTAGTTTGCTGAAAACAGTTCCCTCAATATTTCTTCCATCTTAATTCTATTGACGGTATAATTAATAATAACCCACCGTAACGAACAACTGCCCAAGCATTCGCTAGGACTCAGAGCAGTTAATCAAGGAACTCACAAATATTTGTTCAAACAATCTACATGTGCAGACACCTTTGTCTTTTTGCCACTAGATACCTCTGAAGGCTAAGTTAGTCTTGAAATTCCAGGTTTCTCTCTACCTATTATTTTTTAATAACATCTAACATCCGGAAGGTGAAGAAATCGCCCTATATATCCACTCGAGGTACGCAGTGGACGGTGCATCGTCTGATACCATTGGCATCAATTCCGGCGTTCCACAAGGATCAATTTTGGCACCAATATTATTCCTTCTTCATATCAATGATCTGTTGGGAGTAACAACTTGCCCCATCCACAGCTTTGCAGATGATAGTACCCTCCATACTGCGTTCTCTTCCAGAATTCCCATTTCTTCCCAGGAAACTAAGAACTCACGCCGCAGGCAGGTCAATGCTGTCAATGAAGACCTTGCTGAAATCACAGCCTGAGGAACCAACAACCTAGTTGAATTCAACGCCACCAAAACTCAAGCCTGTATTTTCTCTAGAAAGGCGGAACTTAGTATGCCCGATATTGTAATGTCAGGAACCACCATCCCCACCAATCCTACCATATCTATGCTCGGTATTTCCATCAGCAACACTCTTTCATGGGATAATCATGTCAGATCCATCGCAAAAGCTGCTTCACAAAAACTCGGATTCTTGTTCCGTGCTAAAAGCTATACTTTACACCTCAACAGCTTCTCACGATCTACAAAGCGCTGATGCTCTTAGATTCCATCCAGAGAAAAGCCATTCGCCTGGTGGGTGACGCCACACTCACTCACTCTTTGACATCATTGGAACACCGTAGAAAGGTCGGCGACCTTTCACTTTTCTATCGATACTTCCACAGGAAATGTTCTTCGGAAATCTCTGCTATCATTCCTTCACTAGCAATACCAGTCAGACGAACTAGACAAGCCCAGTCAGCACATCCTTTCGTTGTCAACCTCTAAAGATGTTGAATAGCACTTTATCAAAACTCCTTCATCCATAGAACGGCTAGGCTCTGGAATTCATTGCCTGAGGAAGTATTCCCAACAACATAATATAATCTCCAGAAAAGCAAAAAAAAATCCAATACCTACCTCCTGTCCCTATCCTCCCTAGGAACGCACGATGTTCTTTGAACATTATAGAGATATCCTTTCGTGCGCTCCAAGCGATAAAAAAAAGGTATAGATACTTTGTGATAAAAAATAGCATGTCGCCGCACCTGACAGACAGCTTTCAAATATCTCGCTATGTGGCGTACGCTTATTTTTTATTGCGACATCTGTTATAATTGACTCATAGAACGTGTAATACTCATTTTTATAATACTAAAAATACTACCAATGTATTACCTGATGCATTATAATAATATTACTTGGAATATCACCAATAATACTATATTACTATAAAATAATACCAATATTACCATATTATTGACATATATTACTAATATCACCATATTTTTGGATGATATTACTTATATTACTATATTACAAGCAGATATTACCAATATTCCAATATTACTAGCTGATATTACCAATAATACCTGTCATATGAAATATTACCAAATATTAATTGATAATACCAGTAATACCGGTAATACTGGAAGTATAATACTCTACTGGTAATATATTACTGGCACGATGTACACCATATTATGTATATGTAATATTCTCTCAACTGTGATATTACCATAGTGAGCTACCCCTCGGTTTTACCACTGACCAAACCGATTTTTTACACCTCGACACGTGTTTCGATAACTATATTAGCATCTTCAGAAGGAGATTAAAACTAAATGATGAATAAAATAAAAACAAGGTTCAAAGAACACTCACCACATTTGAAATATGCTAGGTTAGATAAATCGTGTGTAGCTGAACACATGTTCAATCACAATCATAACACACATATTAATAACCTTAAATTAGTTAAGCAAGTATTAATAATGTTAGAAAATTAGATGCATATGTAAGCTCAGACATATTTTAGAATAGTAATAGAGTAATGAATAAGGATAATGGACCAATCCGATTTAGCCCTCTGTATAGTTTAGTTATATAACATGTGAACTCAACCATGAATTACATTAACTTGGCGGTTATTTGTATCTTCACGGTTGAGTGGACGTATTCTTAGTAAATAAGTAGCCCACTAGGATAGTGCACTTAGTTTTAATCTTCTCCTGAAGATGCTAACATCGCGAATCACGTGTCGAGGTGTAAAAAATCGGTTTGGTTAGTGGTAAAACAGTGTGTAGTGAATCATGATTCTAATATCAATATAGTGACAAAGGTAATTAAAAAAACTGCATTTAAAAAAACTGCAGCGCTCTTAGGAAGCAGTTTTCTTAATAATACTCCCAGAGTAAACGAACGTTATTCTGGGACACCCTGTATAGGTCCATCGGTTTCAAGTTTCCTATGTATATCGATAAGTGCCCTTTCCGTTTCATTTTGTCAAAATTGTGGTTAATTTTTGTCATTGTCACTGTCACTTCACGATTTATTTCACAATCCACATTCCAAAGTGTGATATCTGGTTACAGAAACAGATTAATCTTACTAATGTTTTAAGATCAATCTCTGAAAAATATGACAAGGAAATCTAGAAGAAATCCTCGACTAGAATATGCCACATAGTGACCCAGCCAGAAGAAGAAAAACCTTGTTTTCAAATTCAGTGTATCCCAAGAACCACGACGAAGCAGGTACGTTCGTGTGTGAAAAAATCAAAACCATGAGCACCCAGACCAATTTCAATTCTTCGACAACGGTGAATTTGAGTAAATCGCCCAATAAGGTGCAAGTTTACAGGGAAACGCAAACCCAGACCAGCAAAACTGTGATATCATTAGATTGCCCCAAAAGCAGTGTTGGTGACTTCTCCCCTGACAGTTTGAGTCCCAGATTCGATAACTACAAAGAGGAACTGAGCCCTAGAAGCAAAAACGATAAATTCCCTTTCAGCCTTCACAGTTTCCGCAGCCCTAGGTACAACTTTGGGAAACAACGCGATGATATAACTCCACAGCAGAGCAAGAGAAATCAGGAGTCTTCGACGAACCCAGAAGATTCGGCTGATAGACCACTTCAGCTTGGATCCAACCAAGGTTTTACTGTAAAGGAAAAAATTACCAAAGGGCAGAACGCGAGCAGTTCGAGGCTTGCTTCGTCAAGCAAGAAACTTCTTACTCCTCGAGCACTAGATCCATCACCAGTTTATCTAGAAAGTAACTTGGTTAAGGAATGTGAAGCAGAGAAACCGACAAAATGTTGCGGGGACGTGTTAGATCCTCAGCCTACTGGGAGTAAACTCAGCAATGTACCATCCCACAAGAGGAAACAGGTAGTTATTTTGCTTAAATTTACGGGATCTCAAATTATTCCAGCAAACATCAATGCATGGGCCATTACTATTTAAGCAACCTCACTTCAGTGAACTACCATCGGCACAATATTGGCATATATTGGCAGTACTTCCATTTATCGCTCATACATTGTTGATCGAGTGCAAATCAAGTGGTTTATTCCTTTTTTCCACCACTATAGCTATAAAACCTGCCATTATTTACTATTTTTAGAGACGTAAAGTGTGTTTTTAATACCAAGGTAGTTTTCGTCATTTTAATAACCACTATATCCGCAATAAAAACTAACACGTCGCCCCACCTGACGGCAGCTTTCAAGAACTCCGATAGGTGGCGTACGCTTATTTTCTATCGCGAATAGTCAATAAAGACATAGCTACATCTGTTATAATTAACCCGAATTCACTTGTCATATACTGTCATGGTCATGGCTACCAGATTTCAATTTGAATGGAAAAGAACTGAGGACCCTTCACAGTGTGCTGCGGGAATATCCGTGATCATCATGCTCGGAATGGACACATACATACCTCATTCTTCGAAAAGATCATCACCATCGAAACCCTGGTTCAACAAAAACAGTTCTAGAACTGTTGCCTTGAAACAAACAGCCTACCATCGCTGGCGCAAAAACCCTAAACTCGCGACTAGAGCAGAATACGTTGATGCCAGAAATACCTGCAGACAAACAATAGATGCTTCGAAAGAAACATACAATGCCAAGATAAGATCGAAACTCATAGATTGTCCTAATGGTTCCCGTTCGTTTTGGTCCCTTGCTAAAGCGGTCGGAAGAAATTTCACTATTAGTTCATTTCCACCACTGTCCAAATCCGACGGCACATTAGCAACAACATCGTAGGAGAATGCAAATATTTTTGCAGATATGTTCGCAGCAAACTCTACTTCAGCTTCCCAAGGAAAAGTGCCGCCAGACATTCCACCCGTTGAGAGTCGAATACCCGAAATCGTCTTCCGTCAACGCATTATCAGACAAATTTTGCTTGGTCTCAAAACGAATAAGGCTAACGGTCCTGACGGAATTCCACCCATTATCCTCGAAAAATGTGCATCAGAATTAACACCGATTCTCTGCAAGTTGTTCAACGTCTCGTACAGGTCGGGTATTTTTCCATCATGGTGGAAGACAGCTAGAGTCCAACCAATCCCCAAAAAAGGGAACAAGAACCTGACCAACAACTACAGGCCAATTGCCCTGTTATCAGTAATATCCAAAGTGATGGCAAAAGCCATCAATATTGAGCTTACCAGATATCTGGAGAGCTCAGGAATCGAAGATCTACTGCTGGAGATCTCCTTGCCTACGTCACCCATTTATGGCAAGCTTCATTAGAAAAACACGGGGAATCTCTAGCTGTTGCGTTGGCCATATTGAAAGCATTCGACCGTGTTTGGTACGAAGGACTCCTCCACAAACTACCATCATACGGCTTACCACCTCAGCTATGCCATCTCTTATCGAGTTTTCTTTCATGCAGATCGCTTCACGTGGTGGTGCACGGTGTGTCGTCTGATACCATTGGCATCAATTCCGGCGTTCCACAAGGATCAATTTCGGCACCAACATTATTCCTTCTTCATATCAATGATCTGTTGGGAGTAACAACTTGCCCAATCCACAGCTTTGCTGAAGATAGTACCCTCCATACTGCATTCTCTTCCAGAATTCCCATGTTTTCCCAGGAAACTAAGAACTAACGGCGCAGGCAGGTCAATGCTGTCAATGAAGACCTTGCTGAAATCACAGCCTGGGGAACCAACAACCTAGTTGAATCCAACACCACCAAAACTCAAGCCTGTATCTTCTCTAGAAAGGCGGAACTCAGTATGCCCGATATTTAAATGTCTGGCACCACTATCCCCACCAAGCCCACCATATCTATGATCGGTATTTCCATCAGCAACACTCTTTCATGGGATAGACATGTTAGATCCATCGCAAAAGCTGCTTCACAAAAACTCGGATTCTTGTTCCGTGCGAAAAGCTACTTTACACCTCGACAGATTCTCATGATCTACAAAGCGCAGATACGGCCTGTTCTAGAAAACTGTTTCCACATATGGAATTTAGCACCAAAACATATGCTGATGCTCTTCGATTCCATCCAGAGAAGAGTCATTCGCCTGGTGGGTAACGCCACACTCACTCACTCTTTGACATCATTGGAACACGGTAGGAAGGTCGGCGACCTTTCACTTTTCTATCCATACTTCCACGGGAAATGTTCTTCAGAAATATCTGCTCTCATCCCTCCACTAGCAATACCAGTCAGACGAACTAGACAAGCCCAGTCAGCACATCCTTCCGTTGTCAACCTCGAAAGATGTCGAACAGCACTTTATCAAAACTCCTTCATCCATAGAACGGCCAGGCTCTGGAATTTATTGCCTGAGGAAGTATTCCCAACAACATATAATCTCCAGAAGTTCAAAAGAATTCCAATACCTACCTCCTGTCCCTATCCTTCCTAGGAACGCACGATGTTCTTTGAACATTATAGGGATTTCCTTTCGTGCGCTCCAAGCGATAAAAAAAAGTGATTTCATAGTGACAATAGGTTTATATTTCAGATTCACAGAACTAAAATGAATGAAATGTATTGCTATTGGTGAAAAAAATGTAATATACACCTTGGTAGTAAAGTATATAATTACCACGGGACCTTATTCCCTTCGGCTAAAGCCTTGGGATATTTTTATTCATTTGTAGTGTTACTACATTGTAAAATGTTTACACTTATATATATAAATAAAATCGTTCGATAATTAATAGATAAATGAAAAAAAAAATAAAGGAAATAGAATAAATAACAATAAACATGATCACATTGGTCAAACAAACATATACATTTAGTTCTATAAATATCACATTTCGGTATTGTTAACTAGAAGTTTTATGAATCTATATCATGTTATGTGTCAATAAGGCTGTGAATTGCTGAATAGAGTAGAAACATTTTCTGATCAGATATTTTCTTAATTTAATTTTACGTTCTATCTCATTCGAATCGATCAGACCATCCCACTGTGTGTCACATAACATTGCAACCATGGTTTCTTTTCCCTTTTGTGTAATTGGTCTAATTCGCTTTGTATCTCTATGTTTTACGTTCTCTGATACCTTATATGATGAAAGTTGACCATAATGATCTGATATATTTATTTTTATCACTCTGGAAGTGAATAACTCATCCTCAATTGATGTTAAAATATTATCAATGCATGATTCGTGTGTATTAGTTACTCTTGTTGGTTCATAAATTGTTGGTTTATAACCATGACTCGCAAGTAGATTTTCAAAATTCAGTGTAATATTGTTTTGTTCCAGTAAGTTGATATTGAAATCCCCACAGATAACCCCAACTTTACCTGTATTGTCCAAAAATTCCATCACCTCCATCAACACCACAACACCTGAAAAAATGTTTCTACATCTCCGCTAGGTCTCCTATAAATGCATAATACAATCATGTATCGATTCATGAGTTCAACAGCTGCAATTTCACAATGACATTCAATGGACATGTCATTCAATTATTTCTCTATAGGTTTTGACGATATTGCCTTGTTGATGTATATTATAGTACCACCTTTAGAATTTTTTCTACAAAATGATGAGCCTACATAAAGATGATCAAACTGATAAAGGTTACTTTCATGTTCACAAAACCAAGTTTCAGAAAAACATACTATGTCAAAATCTTTGTTATCATTCAGATAGAGTAGAAAATCCTCGTATTTACAATTTAGTCTCTCCGCATTTATATGAAAAATGTTGACAGCATTTTTGTTAGTCACTAGCAAACAATCAATCTTGGTCCCTGGGTAATACTGATATTCTTTACTACATTGGTGTATAAATTCCTTTTTCTAATACTGCTATGAAAAGTAGCGCATTTCTCATAGCTTATAATATACTTACTTTCAAAACCATGTGCTGCCCATACTGTGTGAGAAATATTTTTTCTCACGGCACTTTGTCAATACCACATACATTTCCAATATTTCCATGGAGAATCAACAAAAATCGACCAAAACTTGGCTGCTGTTCAGCTTTGAATAGTTGTCACAACTGTCAGAAGAAGTTTTTTGAATTCTTTAAGGTAATGAGGAACTAGGTAAGGCGTCTACTCTTTGGTCACAGTATTCAATGTGGCATAGTGCCACATTATAAAATAAATACCATTAAGTTACATTACTCGCACTCGTGAAAAAGTTGAACTTTTCCCACTTGTTGCACAATATACTTTTACCTACGGTCACTATAGAAAGTAGCAGGCAAGAATACACGAGATACAGCCTAACTGAGTAGCTCTTTACGCACAGTAAGCACATTGCACAGTTTTAGTTTATTCCGCCAGTCATGATCGCGTAATCGCGGTCAACAACGGATGACATAACTGTCAAGAGTTATAATTCAGACTGCTTGTCCAAACTTTTTTGATAGGCAGAGCCGTAGGCGAGTCCTGGAAGTCTGCGAGGCTAAAAAAACTGTTTTTGGACGTGTTGCGTACACTATTTTCTTTGGAACCATGTAGAATAGCCAATCACTGAGACACATTTCCATATTATATTCCTTTGTAGAATACAATTTCTTGTTTATCAATTCTCATTTGTAGCAAAAACTGGAATTTGAACAGAATAACTATACCTACCTACTAACTGTTACATTGAAAATTTCGTATGGACATTTTCAAACTCACTATCGCAGCTGCTTCCAATAGTTTCAAATATCAAAATGTCAACTAATTTCATGTCAAATAGCTGTCAGCCGATATTTCGCTGCTATGGTAATTATCATCTGCATTTATCAAAAGCATATCTACCAAGATTTTCATAATTACAGTGAGAACAACGATGTGATACTTCCCGGCCTAGTCTGGGAAGTACGTACCTCCCGGGCTAGGCCGGAAAAATGATACTTTCTCAAAGAAAAAGTGTCCGGGAAGTTGGCACT